GGTGAAATAGAGGGACACCAAAAGGAGAGGAGTTAAAACGGCTTAATTTCTATAGTGAACAGAAAGGTCACACACTGTTTTTCATCGGCACCCCAAGAGACACTGACACACGCACACACTCACACACCTGTCCCCGAGGAAAAGATCGATACACACACTGATACCACCGTGAGGAGAGAATCCGCTCGCTCGATACATACATACACACACACAAACCATGGGCAGAGGAGCCGATCAATAAACACACACACGTACAGGTGTCACCCCTGCTATCTAAAGAGAGGCCAATCAATGCTCACACACTGATATACCTGTACCAATCAGCTGCTCAGATTCACTCTCGTCTGTCTCACCCTTTTTAATACACTCACCCCTCCTCGTTTCTCTCTCTGTCTCAACTCCCATCCTCCTGAATTTCTTACAACACCCCTCTCTAGTTGTCTCCCCCTCTCTATATCTGTTCCTTACAGAGCACTTTCCTTCCATGTAGGTAAATCGTGTTTATCCATTGCCCCATGGTCTCTTTTTGCTCCAGTACTACACATAAAGCTGGCATAATTAAAGCTGCTATCTACATTCAGAGCTAAATAAAAAAAAAAGGCTTTAGCAGCAAGGATATTTAAAGTGAGAGCCTACACTTCCTGCAGCAGCCATAGGGTGGCGCTCTTGTCTTAACCGGTACAGCAGGGTCCTGAAAACGCTAACAGGAGGAAAAACTGTTGTATGATCAAATGCACACATTTATGCATAATCTTTACATGCATTGAGGCAGCCTGTGTGTGGACAGCAGCTCGCTCAACATGCTCTGACCTTCCTGCCTTTACTGACCGTTTCCATTCATCCACTCACACTTCATTGTACTCCTCCTTTCTTTTCTTTCCCTTTCCCTGACTTCAATTTCTGTTTTTCCTACTCTTTCCTGGTCTACTTTCTGTTGTGGGCTGGTAATTGTAAAAGAGATCGTTTGCCTTTCCATGCTACGTCAGAAATCTCTCAAACAAAACCACTATGGTGGAGTTCAAATACACTATGTGACAGAACTGACAATTACGGTAATATATTAATTCTTTAAATCCTTTCGTCAAGCAGAAATGCCAATTATTCGCTTGTTTCAGCCTCATCATTTGCCGCTTTTCTCAGACTTATTTAGTTGTAAACTAAACACCTTTCGGCTTTGGCCTGCTTGCTAGACACACCCAATGTGGAGATGTCATCCTGGACGTTAGAACATTTCGATCATATAGGCAAAAATATGTATTGAAAGAAAAGAAGATTATTGACAGATACTTGATGGGTGCAGCCCTATTTGCTCTGTCAGTATTTTTGGTATTCCTGTTATTGATTGGTTGAATTTAGTCAACATGCCATCACCGTCATATATTCAATGCTGCTCTAATGCTGTTATAGGAACAGAAACCGTTTGAGCTATCCAAAATACCGACAATTAATATCCTACTTGGCAACACTCACTCAGAGTAACAGAGCCATTCTCGCTACAGTCTCCATTTTGACAATCAAGAACCAGTGGAAAATTCAAAGCAGAAGAGGCATGATGCAATGCACCCACCCGTCTTCATACCAAGTTCACACCTGTTCTTTTTGTTTTGTGGAGAGGGTTCTGGGAAATGAAGGAAGGCACTAACAAGATCAGTCGATGATGCTGGCTGGTAGTTAATACGTGCAACAAAACATACGAATACACAATGAAATGGCAGAATGCATTCAATAATCAAAGAGAACATTTTTTGGGGGTAAATGATATTTGGCATGTATCGTACTGGCAAAGACAGAAGGCGGTAGGCTGATAGGGTATGAGGAAAAAGACCCATCACTGTAACGCTGTATGCAAAAGAAAGAAGTCAAACCAGGATGTCTGCATGCATTTGTGTGGGTGAGTGAAAGAGAGACTGAGAAAGAGTTGTCAAAGGTAACCTGTTCCCCCAAGCAAATTGTTCTGTGTAAATATTACTTCTGTGTAAAAATGTCTTCAAAACCATATGACAGACAAGATGAAAATGTTGTGTGGATAGCTTTTTACCCCATTTACTTCTCTATATATATTTGTAGAAGTGTGTGTGGGTATTTGTGTGTCCATGTGTGTCAGTATCTTACTTTCTCAGTAAATACCCCAGGGATTTGTGGTCTATACTGTGTGGTTTGGAGGAGTTTGTTAGTTGAGGGCCAGGTGCAGGCAGACAACACATACACTCACGGAAGATAAACGGACCCAGCACACACACACACACACACACACACACACACACACACACACACACACACACACACACACACACACACACACACACACACACACACACACACACACACACACACACACACACACACACACACACACACACACACACACACACACACACACAACCACACAACACACACACACACACACACACACACACACAACACACACACACACAACACACACACACACATCACACACACACACACACACACACACACACACACACACACACACACACACACCACACACACACACACACACACACACACACACACACACACACACACACACACACACACACACACACACACACACACACACACACACACACACACACACACACACACACACACACACACACACACACACACACACACACACACACACACACGAAGGATAAATGGACCCAGTAGCAGGGAGGTCTGACAGAATGCCTTTTCACACCTGGCTGAGCCCAGCGGAAGGTGACAGAGCCACATCTCCCAAAGCAAACACACACACACACACCTCTTCTCACATTGGGGAGTTCAGGGTCATAAGCAGCATCATGAATAAAATGAGGCTGTCTTAAACAGAAGGAGCCCTGTGTGTGTGTGTGTGTGTGTGTGTGTGTGTGTGTGTGTGTGTGTGTGTGTGTGTGTTGGTTGTGTTTGTGTCTGTGCGAGCCCCTAACCCCCATGCCAGTTTGGATCTATAACGACCTTCTGTTCCCAGTGCTTAAATGGCTTAAATACTTCAATTAGACCTGGGTCACAATCCTCCACCCGTTAAAGCACAGCATCACACGCAAACACACACACGAAAAATACACACAATAGTTGGTTGCATCATCTTGCCAGGTGACAAAAGATATTTGTCGGTGCTCCTTCATCAGCATCTTTGCCTTTTTCTCGTGGTTTAAACTCAAACTCTATAAAGAAAAATATCCCCCACCAACACATGAGCAAGTCTTAAACTAACTCCCATCTTCTCTGCCAGCGTCTCCCCTGGAACTTCTCTCTCCCGTTCCCTCCTCCTTCCTGCGTCTCTCCCGCCGTGCTACCCTGCGCTAACGATGCTGCCTTTTCATTAGACAGCCCCTGCTAATTAATCTCCATAGAGGAGAGAGACAGACCTCCCCCAACACACGCCAAGTGCACGCCAAGATATATGCAAACACACTGTTCTTCCCTCTCTCACACTCCCTCGTCCCGAGTGGCGTTGGCAGCCCATTTCATGCTTTATCACGTCTTTTAATTGACAAACAAGCTGCTCTTTTCTCTTAGGCTGAGGTCTATATCGCCCCCTCGCTCAGACGCACACACACACAAATACATACATAAGGAGCCAATGAAACTAGTTATCGTTTCAGTTTTTGGATAAAGAACACACACACACAAATAATAGTAACGCAAATGCATCCCTGCTGGCCCTAGTGACTGTCACACAGTTTTCTACTCTTTGACACATGGTTTACACACACACACACACACACACACACACACACACACACACACACACACACACACACACACACACACACACACACACACACACACACACACACACACACACACACACACACACACACACACACACCACACACACACACACACACACACACACACACACACACACACACACACACACACACACACACACACACACACAGTTCACTCCTCTGCTACAGGGCGAGTTCAATACCATTCACAACTGACTTATTGATTCTGAGTGATCGTGAGACACCTTTCCCTCATGCTCATGGAAAATACTTTTTTTCTGGTGGCTTTTAGGAACATCCACATGCTAAATTAAAATGATCTGGTTCTGGTCACATTCCTCAAATCACTATCACTGTTCGGTGGATTTTAATAGTAGATGTTTAAAGACACTGAAGAAAGCACATTGAGAGAGTAATGCGATGGTCATCACCCGAGACTCTGGTGTTATAAGAGCTTTGTTTGCACTATGACACTACTTCACTTTTTTCCTTTAAGTTGACCAAAAACTGTAAATAATGTGTGGTCCTTGAAGAGTTTAGAAATGAATATTGGTTATAGCATATCACTACTGTAAGATTTAAAATATTTCTATTCTGATGAAGCAGGTTCTGCTTGAAAAAGATTCAAGAAGTGTCCCCGGCTGTGAGGGGCAGGGCGGGTGTGCTGCTGGCTTAGTCATCCCCTCCACCTTCACCACCCTGTTCTTTTACATTTCTTTGCTTTTAATTGGGACTCTGAGCAGAACTCCACGGGGATTTAGCAAAATTGGACACAGATAGGGTGCAAACTGCTGGTACAATCTAAAGGAGTTAACTTTACCATTGTAATAGGGTTAATGTTATGAAATGTAAAAAGCATGTGCATCATTCGCATGTATCTATTATGGGACTTTAAGGTAAAAGCTGAAGGAACTGTGTAACACAAGAAGATTTGTAACACCTCCCTTTTCAGATGCTTTGCCCTTCTAAATACACACCTTTGAGTACAACAGGAATGTACTATTATGTTCTTCCTGTTTAAAAAAACAAACTCCCAATCAACTTCAGGTGTCTAGTCAGCGGTCCTCGATCCATCTACAAAAGGCCCTTTGTCCACCTGCCTTGTTCTCTCTGACAGCAAAGACAAGCAGCACTAAGACCTCACTTTGTTTTATCATTGTGCTTCATAAAACATAAAGAGATGTGGAAGGGATCAAATCAGATTTAAAAACACCAGTGTGGAGTTTGCTGACAGCGTTGGTTTTGTGGTCAAATACTCACTGTGATGTGATACTGTCTCCAGATCTCTGGACAAGCCTGAGGAGAGAAAAAAAACACACTTAATATGGTCTTTAATATACAGACTAATATACGCACATTTGAGAAGCACATAAAAAGTAATACATCCGATTTAAAAAAGGGAGGGAATGAAAATGTCATAAAAAACAAACTGCATGTATTTGTATCAAATAGGTATGAGACACACACAGATATAGATAGGATAGGATATTAAGGGCAGAATAAGACAAATATTACAGAGACGCTGATTGACAAAGAAAGGACAGAGGCAGGGCCAGGGAAATGAAATGAGGGCCTTAAGAAATACTGTAGAGCAGGCCATGGTGTCATTTGTTTGGCTCCTCAGGTCTCTTCTGTCTTTCACTAAAGCTTTGTCGCCCTGATTTCTCAGCCTGTTTCCCTCCATGTGTCTCTCTTCAGTCAGTCAAACAGTCAGTAAGTAAGGCAGTCAGTTGTTTTGTCCCTGTGTGGCTAAAGCATTATCTCCGGGGCTTCGCCACGCTGTTCCTTAAGCGTTCCGACATCCTTTCCCAACCACCGCCACTTCCCACTGGGAAATTGAAAATGCCGCAGTCACCGCAGGCAACAAGATTTATCTACTTACACACCTACTGAGTGAGAGAGACAGAGAGCGGGTGAGAGAAGGAAAGGAAGATTTAAGCCAGTGCTGTAAGGAATGTTTAGTTTTTGTGCTTGCATAAACTAAACAAGTTCTTACACAAATTTGCATGATGTGCAAATTCTTGTCACAATAAAAAGTGACTATTTGGCTGAAAGTGTTTGTTCAAATCCTGATCTTTAAGCCTGTAAAGAACGCTGTGCATTTCTGGCTTAATCTGAGCGGTTTAGATTTGAATACAGAGATGGGCAAATATGAATTTCGATGGCTGTATCCTTCTCCACCTCTCATCTAGCTTTCTTTTCTTCAACAATCCCCCCACTACACCAGCTCCCTCCCGCTTGCTCGCTCCCTCCAGACCGCTGGGGTAGTGTGTTGTTGTCGAGGGCGACAGGCGAGGCGAGCGACACACTCGCGCTCCGTCAACCGTCTGTCTTTAATGAGAGACACAGAAAGGCCCAGGGGACGGAGACCTGACTCTCTTTCTCACACACACACACACACACACACACACACACACACACACACACACACACACACACACACACACACACACACACACACACACACACACACACACACACACACACACACACACACACACACACACACACACACACACACACACACACACACACACAACACACACACACACACACACACACACACACACAACACACACACACACACACACACACACACACACACACACACACACACAGTGTAATTTGTGAGTGTAAGAAAAAAAGTTATGCGTTCCAAGAAAAGGGTAATTACAATGCCAGACAACTTTGCACTTCTGTTTACTGTTGAAAACAATATGCAAAGGAGAGAGGAAGAACAAGATGAAGATCCATAGGAAGAGGGGAGAAAGAAGGGAAGAGAGTGAGGGCGAGAAAGAGAGAAAAATGGGCCGTGTGTGTCCTGGTCTCCCCTCTCCCTCTCGTGTTCACCTGGTTACTCACCCATTACACAGAGCACAGAACATGACTGACTGGCGGAGAAGAGAGAGAGGGTGAGGTGGGGGAGACACAGGCAAGCTCTTACATGCACACAGGGTTCACCATTCTATGGCATTAGTGTAAATGGGCAAGGTAATGAACGTTGCGGTGGGATAATTGTCATTGATGGCCATTAGATTCACCCTTGAATGCCAACACAAGCACATGCCCACATCTGGAATATGCAGCATGGCAGAGACATAACTAAGCTGTAATTGCTGAAGTGTATAAATTAATGTGAACAGCAGCGTGTGCTGACCCCCGGTCACTCATTATTACTGAGAGAAAGTGTGGGGGAGAGGGAGGGGAAAAAAGAGGGGGGTAAAATAGGGGGGGGGAAGGTGGTAATGGAGAGGGTATAAGCATACTTTTGCCATTAAGTTGTTGGTGTTTCAACTTGTTCTCATACAGCAACACGACAAGCCAAAGCATACTGCACACACACATCATCTGAGCCATTTGACCTCATACTGTGGCATCAAGTTGATTCAATCTCCCGAAATACATCAAGGAATACTCCAATCCCCAAATTATTATTTGTATTTCAGTAACTGACCCTGCCAGCCCTTGAAAAATTGAAAATGCATGCGGTGTTTTACGTAGAAAGTACGGTTTGCATAGAGTTTGTAAACAGATGTTTTTATATAGTTTTGCTGTTACTACAATTCTTTTTAAAAGTTTTTCATTTTCAGATTCTATCTTTCACAAGAATTTCTTCACACATTCAAGTAACACAGGGTAAGTAATGGATATACAAATTGTCATTAAGATCAATGCATTCATTTAATTCCCTTTCTTTTTTATAATGAAACGTATGTCCTCATTGTAAATTTGCTTTTGTATTTATTTTTGTTTAAATCCAATGACATCGTGTTGGAAAACCTTGTATAAAATAGAACATAAGGCCAATTTTGTTGCAACATTTTGGAAAGGACCTTTCTTGTCTCAATATCACAATGCTCATATGCATAAACCAAGATCCATTAAAATGCTTTATGGGAACTTTACAGTGACTGGCCGCTACAACAAATGGGAGAAAATCCCTTCAGCTAGGTTTACAAATCAGTAGAGTTGAGGCTGTTACAGCAGCAGATTAATGGCCATGGGTTATGGAATGAGATTTTCAACAATAGCATTAGTATGTTTCCATATCATTTCAACCATTTGCCAAAATTAATTTGAGTTTTACTTTATTCCTCCATGCCTGTATTGGACTCAAATGTGCAGAGCTTTATTTTCTTATTTTAATTCCAACCTAATAAAATAAAATGCTATACTCACATTTGTTGAGTGGCCTGTCATGAAGCAGCGCTCACAGCGCTGGTGCCAGTGCGCTCTGTCTCTGCAGGAGTTGTAGAGGTGCCCAGGCAGGCCGCAGTTGTTGCAGTGCTTGTTGGGACATTCACTTGACAGGTGGCCTGGGGTTCCACAAAGATAGCAGGGCACCAACTGCTGCTCACACACGCACATAAAAAACACACATAACACAGTTATTAGTTTTACATATTGGTACTCATCAGAGTGTATAAGCTGTACACGCTACGGTGCACTGAGTTGAACTGACTTTGGACTCTGGGCAGTTCTTGGAGAGATGTCCGTTCTTGCTGCAGTTTCTACACTGGACACTCTTGTCGGTGTAGTATCGGTTTGACAGCCGCGGCCCCGTTGCTCTCGCACCCTTGTCTCTGTTATAGATCCCAGCCTGAAACATACACAGTTGATACTTTCATTATTTATTTTAAAATGTGTATAGAAAAATCATGAACATCTTAGAATTGTATTTCCAACTAATTTTTGACTGACAAAAGTAAGTGACAATATATAATACATACTGTTATACTTATTATTTTTAGAAATCACACATTACTTCTTACATATTACTTTGGCTTATATCCAAAAAACGGACAGTCCTAATTATTCAAACAATTGAACTGTGCACTATTCTAAAAATAAGTTTTGGCTCAACACATCTGCCTTTTATTCAGAAAAGGTTTGCAGAAAATGGCTGCCATTTAGACCACCAGTCTAAATGGTTACTACTTTGTAAAAAGCCATCGAACGAAAAGTGGCTAAATGTCAAAATATACAAATCACTGTAAAAATACTGATGTCCTCTTACGTCCTTATCCTTTGACGAAACCAACCAGCTGGCCTTCTCTTCAGCATCTGGTAGAACAGAACAAATTATTTACAACAAGGTCACTTTACATTTTAAATCTATACACGTTTGGTGTTTTTATGTTTGACAAAAGGCATCTCATGAAAACCACTCATCATAAACATACAACAATCAATGTAATCAATGGGAAGATTTTGAAATGATAAAAGGTAAGGATCAAGAGGCCTTCCTTAATTTGAATTCAAAAGAACCAATGATTAAACATTTTTTTTAAATATTGGTTATCGGTGGCATAAATAAAAAATGTTACTCAATACAACAAGATTTAGAGCCATAGCTGACAAATTCTAGAAAATATCTAACCCTATTAAGAACTCTAAACCCTGAGGAGTAAGTTCAGTTTCCTGTAAGAGAAGGACACACACACGCACAGAAACTGACACAGTGGCAGCCCAGCACATCTGTATGAGAGTGGCACTAACAGCGCCCTGAGGGACGCCCCTGTACTCTCCTCAGGCCCAGAGAACTGTAACTGACATCCAGACATTGTAACGTACACACAAACACACACACAGAAACACACAGACACATGTACTCAGCATAAATTATGTGCTGATAGCAATGACCCACACAGACTCGCATGCTTTCACAAACACATACAGACACAGACACACCCACCCATCGACCCCCACGATTAGCTGGTTGACAGTCTTTAGCCTTTGGACAAACATACAGCCTTGAGCCATAATCAAATATTACAGTCTCCTTTTCACCTCTCTCTCTTTCTCTCTTTTTCAGAGTCTCTCTATCCACCACCTTATCACAATTCAGCTTAGCCCTCCTTACTTTGCTTTCTCTCTCTCTCTCTCCTTCTCTCCTTGTTTTCTACCCAACTCCTCCCCGGGTGTGAGGGAGGTTATCACCTTTCTTCCCCCGTCAAACAAATTAAAATGGCTGCTGTTTGGATGGGGCTTCTTTCTGCCACGACCTTGTTCCTCAAAAAACAAACACACAGCACCCTTGCAAGCAACTCAACGCTGTACAGTTTAGAGCAAAAACGTGTGACCCTAATTTGGATGATTCTAAAAATGAATCAATTTAACGTCATTTGCGCTCTGGGTTGATTCATTTGGGCAGATTGAAACCTTTATATATTTTTTAAATACACCTACCAGTGACCATAGACCGTGTACAAGCCACCATAGTGCATATACTTTTCTCAAAAGATGCTCTTAAAATGTCCCCTATACTAATTTAAGCATCTCCAAGGAAGACAAATCTGTAACAAAAGTGAAAAAAGTCGAAGTTGTTCAAATTAAACGGAATTAGTTAGTACCTAGTAACTGTTTATTTATAATTCACTTTAAGGTCTGGTCAAAAAATGTAAAATAATAAAAAATGTCCACTACAATTTTACAAAGCCCACGGTGATGTATTTAAATGCTAAATATATTTTATAAAACAAAGAAAAGCATCAAATCCACACATGAGCGAAACTGGAACAAGCCATTTTTGGCATTATCCTTGAAAGATAATTTAAATTACTATGAAATTGACTGCATGTTGTCAGCTAAGGATCAGTGTACCACAGTTTTCCATCTACCTACCTTAACTACCATGAACAGACTGGGGGGCCTCTGTATGGTGTGTGTGTGTGTGTGTGTGTGTGTGTGTGTGTGTGTGTGTGTGTGTGTGTGTGTGTTTCTGAAAGCGTTCATGCATGTGTAGTAAGTGTTACACAACAACTAGCATCCAGTCAATGGGCAGCTTGTTGAAAAAAGGCAGGGGTGAAGGTGTGTATGTGTGAGTAGAAGTTCATCTAAGAATGATTGTGTGCGTGAGTGTGTGTGAGTGTGTGTGTGTGTGTGTGTGTGTGTGTGTGTGTGTGTGTGAGTAGGCGTTAGTGACTCAACGAAAGTCATTCCCAAAGCGTCTCCCAGGGGGACTTCCCAAATAAAGAGCAGGAAGCTTTCCTTTAATCTAAGGGCCCCCCATCTCACCAACACACACACGGATAAAGGTTGAAGCTCTTTGTCACGGCCGAGGAATCAAACACATGGGGGGGGTAGGAAAAGAGGAGAGGGTGGGTGGGGGTCTGTTGTCTGTACACTTGGTGAAAATATGCTAATCAGCCTTGAGGCCTCGCTCGAAACCAACGAGAGCTGCTTGCTTCATCTTGGCCAAACTGATCTGAAGGAGTCAGGAGCTAAATAAGCAGATGGCAGTGCCTTTTCCAAACAGCTGAACGGACGCGGGAGAGAGGCCTCAGCCATGTCCACTGTAGCAATTTCAACTGACCAATAAATCCTAAAAAGGAAATGTATGTGATGCGTCGGGAATAGGTATCTGAGGAAAACCAGGATCCAGAGTCTTGAAAGATCTCCACATGTATTCAAACAATCAACAGAAAATGAAATTGAGAAAACGTTCCTTAGCATGTCAATTTACACACAAGTTTTTATTCTCCGGGACAAGTTGTACATTATCACATCAATCCGTCATCGAGGGAAATTCGACACAATGGCATGGAAGAGGGGGAGACGGAGAAACAGAGGGAGGGAAGGATCAGGGGAAAGAAGGCGACAGATGCTACCTGTCTGTCTCATAGGTACCCTGATTACTAGAAGATGAGGAGGAGAGGGGAGGAGGCTGCGTGCCAGTTCATCAGAGCCGGCAGAACAGAACAAAACAGAGTATGTGTGTGTGTGTGTGTGTGTGTGCGTGTGTGTGAGTGATTTGAATCCGTCCCTTCTACCAGTGAGAACAGACTACAAGTGTACGTGGGGCTAATGAACCATGAACACCCAGCTCTCCTGGGGTGACACACACACACACAGAATATAGGGGACCACAAGCAGCATAATTCTGCCAGGCTGTCCAGGCACGATGGTTGAAATGTGATAACCCAGGGATGAGACTGGGAAATACACACACATTTTGTAACGGGGTCTCTCCTGACAACCACCCATAACTGTGACCATGTTTCCTGTGGTTGTGTGAGTGTGTGAGTGTGAGTGAGTGAGTGAGTGAGTGAGTGAGTGAGTGAGTGAGTGAGTGAGTGAGTGAGTGTGTGTGTGTGTGTGTGTCTACAAGCCATTTACTCCTCTGTCCCAGTAACATCAAAGTCAGGCTTGCCTTGCCCTAAACCCTCTTTCCCTGTCCCGACACTTAAACAGGCATCCCAAACCAGTCTGCCCATTGTACCACGCTGTTGACCAGGCCCATTAACACACCAACCAGTGCACGCACGCACGCACACACACCTACACAAAATAGGAGTGAAAGAAAGGGCCTTGTCCCCTCAAATGGAGGTTATGTTTGATACTGAAGCGACAGGGTCGGATTAGCAACACTATACATGACAATGGTGAGGGGTGGGCGGGAGTGTGCAGGCTGTGTATGTGTGTGTCGGTGTGTGCGCACAAAAAAGTGCTTCCTTTGTGACATCACCCTTGCCCTGCAGCCTTGCCCTCTGCGAGGTTAAACATACCAAAAGGTTGGCCAAGTCAGACGCACACACAGACACACGCACACAAACCCGTAGCTTTTCTACGCCTCTTTTGTGTGACAGAAAAGTCTGGCCGAGGGTGTAAAACACAATAGCAAAGAGAGCAAGAGAACAAGTCAGATGAACAAGAACAGTGAGAGGAAGAGAGGGGGAGAGAGAGGAGGGTGAGGATGCATTGGTATGGGCCATGGAGCACATTACAACACAACAAAAGAGGAGCTGTCTGAATATCAAGCCCACCGGACAGCAAAGAGCATTCAGGTAGAGGAGTGTTTGAGGAAAAAAGGAGGACAGTGGAGGACTGGGGCAAATTAGGTAGTGAAGATGAAATGAGATGCAGAACAAGAAGGAGATAGAGACTGTGTGCAGATATTTGCCATGCTGCGAATAGATCAATAGCTGAATAGACCTATTATAGATGAAAGCTGCAGATTTAATTCGACTTAAATACATGCTGTTTCTTTGCCCATCTCCACCTTTACCTCTGTTAGAGAGATATAGGTGAGAGAGTCAAATTAAAAGCATTCTCAAACTGTGGCAAACATTTCTTTATTTACTTAACGGGTAGCAAGGTTGTCAACTAATCAAACGATGGGTGGTTTGATCAGTCTATGTGTTGAAGTGTCCTTGGGCAAGATATTACACCATTGGCTGAGGCATGAGTGTGCTGTGCATGTGAGGTTTTTTTGCCCGGGTTAGGTGACACCGCGTATGGTAGGCTCTTCCACCAGTGTTTGAATGTATGTGTGAATGCTTGTGTTGAACCAACAGTCTTGATAATTGAAGATGGATTTATGTTGTGGACTCCTTATCAAAACCACAGGACGCTTCATTTACAACCTTTCAACTTAAATGTTTGACTATTCAGAAGAATATAGAGAAAACATTTAGTAGTTATTTTTCTAGTTCAAAATCAGATCTGAAGCTGGGGAGGGAGGCGACTAGGACCTGACTTGACTGAACCCAATTGGTACTTGACGAATGTGTGTCTCAAACTCAAACCCAGCCCGAGCCAATATATTTTTTTACTTTATTTGTTTATGTTTGCTCGCCAGGCTATTGCAAATCATTGGCTAATCTGTCTCTTTCCCATAACCACTGGGCATCATATGTATGCAACCGCTGTATGTTCTTGCAACACATGGCAACCAATGGACCAACACCATTTCAATTTTAGGTTTATTTAGTTGATATAACGAGGAGGACATTAATCCATAAAATTATGTAAAGAAAAAGGATGCTGAACCTGGGCAAGTTAGACAATAGAGAAAACTTCTCAATATACGATGATTGAAAATAATGTATACCAATCCAACCAAATTACAACTGGTTCGGTCGAAGAACTCTTTCTGGCCTGTGCTTCATGATGCTTGAGGTCAACCTTGATTGCCATTTGCAATCTTCTTTGACAGCAACCTTGACATATCAGACTGGCATGTATATTAAGTCAATCTTCAAAAGGTGATCTGATAAACATGTTTTCTGGTCAGAGTTTTGGGGGGTGCAGCTTGGTAAGAAAGGGGAGAAGAAAACAGATGC